TTTCAACAGCAGCGAGAAAGTTTTTAAGAATATCATCCAAACCTAAGTCATTGATTTAAAAAAATCAAATTTGAATCAAAAGGTAGAATTTGAAAGAAAATAAAGACAAAATAAAATATGTAATAGAAATCAGTTATTGAAACAGAATAAAAGTTCTTTCTTTTATTTAGTAGAAAAATTTTTGATTCTCTTTCTCCACACTCATCTTTTCAGGGCTGTACTAGTTCAGGAGGAGAAAATAAGGAATAAAATGGAGAAAAATATAAACATAAGAGCAAACGTCAAACAATTCCCTTAGTTCATACAGGGAGAGGAAAGGCTGTGACAGACAAGCTCTGCAAGTTAAGATATAATTTAGCACATTTAAGTAAATTACAGTGTTTTTATCTTTAAGAGTCAATGGTCCTTTAAGGAATAAGGGAGTATTTTGATCCTAAGGATAAAATCACTATGAAGTCTCCCTGAATACTATGATGAATTAGATCTTTTTTTAAAAAGCAGTGGTTAGAATCAAGATTAAACTCCAGGACCAAACATGAAGCAATAGCTTGTACTATTCCCTGCACTTCTAATGCATGGAGATGACACAGATGTCTCACTTAGATGAAGCTCCAAGTGCCGGTCAGAATCAGAAAAAAATTAAAGAAGAGTAAATTAGTGGCAATAAATATTGATGCTCTTTGTTTCATTACAGTTACTCACAGAGTTGCAAATACTAGGACTGTATCATCTTCTCCATGGGTTGTCCCTGTTGACACTGACAGCTACAGTCTCAAGAATCTCACATAACATTCCTGCTGAAGGCCCGTGGTGAACAGAATCTACTGACTTCTATGATGTCCTTTACAAGTTCGAGTTTCTGAAGCATTTATTTTGCTTTTCAGCAGATTTCTGGGTAGACTGGTGTCAGTGAAGGTGATCATTTTTATTACTAATGAGGGATAACTGAAGGATACATCATCCTATAAGTTAAAAGCAGGAGAAGAATCCAAAATGGTCATTTAGGAAAACTACCAAATAGCTCCTCATTTCAACACGCACTTAAACCCAGCTCTGTACTGGGATCCAGGGAATCTCTAGTTTAATTCCGCCAAAAAACTTTGATTGCCTGAGATACTTGATCTATAAAATAGATCATGATAGGATATCTCTATAAAGTGCTTTGAGATGTCTAGGTCAGTATTCTACATAAAGGAGACATTTCTTTTACAGACAGCTTTCATAGGTGAAACGTTATCTCTGCACAAATCAGTCACAGTTTGCCAAACTTGCAAGATTTCATATTTGAGATTTACCGTATACGGAACAATGCTGTACTTGCAAGCTGGTCTGAACAAGAATTCTTTTTCTGGTGTGTAATTTCTATTGTTCACCTCTATTTATTATAAAGGAAATAGATCGTACTGTACCAGACCCAAAGGTGGTATTAACTAGTAGACGCCTTTGCTATTGAAGTAATAAATTACAAACTTTTCATATCAGGTTTACTAAAGAGCAACTCTACGCTTATATGCTGAATAAATGGAGCATTGTTTCAGATAAGAGATTTTGATTCAGAATGGATAACAAATTTCATTACACTGACCTGATAAAAGAAAAACTTCTCCCTCTGTACTACACGATAGCATACAACTACACTTAGAAAAAGTACACAGAGATATGCAATCCCACTAGATTACTGATCTGAAACAAATAGGAAATAGTTGGAACCTCCACATTTATGTTATCGTGAGCTTTCCATATTTCATCTAAATATAAATGTTCCTGTTGCTCTTACACTTAGACCCCTTAGCAATGCAGCAGATGAAAAAAAAACCACCAAAAACCTATGTCTTTTTACACTGAAATGTCAAATTAAATCTGCTACACCTCTTTCCCATTGACTATGCTTCTTCTTTCCTCTCGCTTTTTAGCCTATGTCATTTTATTTCCACGCAAAGAATTTGGCCCTTTAGTGCATTACAGAGAATTCAAGGGACTAACCTTTTAGTGTTGGGAAACAGCTAATGTTCCTGCCAGTGAGCTAAAGCTGGAGTATCCCTTTGTCACGGCCAAATTTATGACATGGATCAAAAACTATAAAAAGCTGTGTTGCATCCTGCCATTAAAGAGAATTAATATTTTCAGTGGTATGTTAACCAAAGTTTTTCCAGTGTCTCTCGTTAAAAGCAGATTGTTGACTTTTCATCCTAGTGTGCCAAACATTTTCATTGAAACCCTAACAAGACTTTCATCTTACAACCATTATTTCTTAATGGACTTGGATAGGGGTAGTGTACAGGAATGGATTTCCTTTTCAGCTCAGCGCAATGGCCTATCATTAGTGTGCTGGGTCTTGGAGAACCATTACACATGCAAACATTTAAAGTATTTCCAGGGTAACTACTTCTCTTTCCTGAAATGCAATTCATGTTTTATCTATTATATTTAAGCAACATTTGGTCACATTTTACCTTTCAAGTATCTCTAGTATGATCACTTCTCATTCTGCTGTATAGTAAAAGTCATAATGAATGAGATCATACACAAAAACATTTTTTTATGGAGTGGATTTTGTAGAACTTTCCCCTCATCTTGGGCAATAAATCTGTTTCTAAAAACCACAAAGCCCAAACACTGACCATTTGACAAGAATACTTTATGACAATATCACTTGCCACTTACTTTTCATTATTGAGTAGATTATACTCTTCATATTCAGACAGAAAAAAAAAAAAAGACAAAAAGGGAAAAAAGAACTACTGTTTGCCTTTTTGGTGCTTCTATTTTTAGTAATTTTCTGTTCGTTCCTGTTTTACTACTGGCAGTGTCCTCAGATCTGTCATGAAACAGCACTCACTTACATTGCAAGAATGTTGTTTTGTTGGTGTTTTTTTTTCCAACACAAATGGTGTCAACTGCTTTCAAAAGCTGCCCATTCCTCCCACTAAACCCTCTCATTCCTCATATGTATTTCTAAAGATTCCTTAACAATTACATACACAGATGCAGTTTTGGAAACTTTCAACCTTTGATGGTATTTTGAATCATGGCCCTACTGGCAGTGAATGAACTCAAAGTAACAACCCTGGAGTGTGATACCATCAGTTCTAAGAAGCTGTGTAATATTTATGTCTTCATTCAGACTTTATATCAAATGTAACAGGCTTTGCAACCTTCATTAAGAAAAACTGGCACCCAGAGGTTACCATATGTTCCTCTTTTTAGACTAGAGTTTAAGTGCAGATGTATATTTATTTTTCCACTCCGCAGTCCTCCTTGAACTGTTCTTACTGCAAAGCCAATGAAACCATTGCTTTAATCCCACTGGCCTTCAGGGTACATCATATGGTCCTTACTATTTAAGAATTCTTTTTAGTGTGCTTCCTATTTCCTTATTTCTGCAGTATATATAAAGTCCTGCTTTGTTTTTCTATGAGCATTGAAGAAACTGGAACCTTTGTATCACCCTGACGTGTAACTAAAGCCAAATCTACCTACCTAAGTCAAGTGCAGAACAGTTCATTCCCCATTGTCACCCATTCACCTGTGTCACAGTTCTATGTTTTTTTTGTTTTTGGGTTTCAGTATTCCGTATCAAAACATCATGTAGTGTACAGGGTATTAAAGTGTTAATGCCCCAGTCCCGGGTGCCTATCCCTGTACATTACAGAAGTCACGGAATCTGGCCCTTCCGGGTGGGGGTGGGGGGGCACTTTCTTGCTGCCTTGCAGTGATATCTTCTCAATTAGCTGAGCCATCCTGGATAGCCTTAATTAACATACTTGTCATCCATTTTTCAGTTGGGCTGCTCACGGTTCCAATCTGAAACTCCTTGTTTTCCAGTTATTATTTTCATAGCACAGTTACTGAAGGCATCCGAATTCTGAGTCTAAGGTCATTACCTAAGGCTTTTCAATAGGCACTTGCCACCCCATTTATGGTAGAAGGATGTATCAGAAATTTGTATTATTTCTCTTTCTGCCTTGTAATGTTTCAAAATTTACTTCAGGACTTCAAACATTGTTTGAATTAGTGAAAGCATCACAAATATAGTGGGCGCTAGTGGGCGCTTTTTTTTTTTTTTTTTTCCCCTCTGATGAGGAACATATTCCAGTTCATTGGAACTATGGGCTCCACCCCACAGCGTTGATTCAGACATGTAACCTTTAGTCAGAATAGCAAACGTAGGGCATGCTGGAGGCCTTAAGGTTACTGCTGAAAATAGCAACTACAGATTTGGCCTCATTTTCTTCTTTTCCTTTCTGCATTGGATATTTTGCAAGAGATGAATTCCTCTGTGCTTGATAGTAGTCTATAAGATTAGATTTTTATACTATACTTTATACTTCAGCAAATCCCACAGAACTCATTCTGTTTTATGTTTCTTCTTATAGGAGACTATTATATGTAAGCTGAATCTCTTAACTATATCAAATCCAATATAAACACCCTCTTTATAAGACGCACCTCACTCTAATGCTCAGTGTGGAACTCCTAACAAAAATTATAAATGGAGTGCTTTGTTCGGGCATTTAACTCTTTCACTCCTAATATCAAATCAAAATGTTTAAGCGGCTTTTATTTTGCACTTGAAAATAAATATAAAGGGAAGCCATAACTTAACCCATATGATGTGTTTTGAGCAAATCTAGGAGAAGATTTTAACAAGGGACAAAAATTAAGATGTAACTTAGCCAAAGGTTTGAGTTGGTTTAATCTCATTTTTTTCCACAGGGGTGTCTGGGAATAACGGGGGGGAGGGGGAACGTGCTAAAAGTTCGCTAATTGTTGGAGAATTCAAACCTGTTTTCATTTATTTGAAATTATTACATAATGGAAGCGGGACGCTATAATTCAACCCAAATGGACAACTTCAATAAGCGGGTGGAAATGATTCAATACATTAAAGAGAAGCTGTTTCAATAACAAATCTTTAATATAATCAGGAGTGAAGTGGTTAATTTAAGTTTTTACTGAAAAACAGGCTGGCAAAAATGTTTCCAGGGATGTGGGGATTTTTTTCCTTTTACTCAGAAGGGGTTTGGAGAGGAGGTTTGGAAGGGAAGGAGGGCTTTGGTTCCAGGATCCCCGCATTCCCACGAGTTCCATTAAGGAAGGGGGAAGGGCTTCCTGCTGAGGCAGCCATCTGCAGCTTTCTGTGAACAGCAGGAACCAAAGGCCTGGTAAAAGGAGAGTAAACCCAGGGTGACAATTTTGTCCAAATTCAAAGGCAGAATGTGGCTGATTTTTTTTTTTATTATTATTTTTATTAGTGGTAGTATTATTACTACTATTATTAGGAGGAGGAGGGAGGACTTCTCTGGCAGAATTAGCAGGTCTATAATGGAATATTAATTACAAGAGAACAATAGCAGTGCAGGCAGAAAAGCAGAGAGCACAAACACACCCTGACAGCCTCTCCTGGAATGCGCCGCCAACAGCAAGCTGGGATTGTCATCATCCAAGCTACTGTCGCTATGCTGCAAGCTATCTGGAGTCCATGGATTCATGGCTGAGGTCCCCTTAAGTTATTGCTTTCTAGGCTAGAGTAAATTAGACCTGGATTTTTGTAAAGTGCTGTCACTTAATACCTATTTTATTAAGGTTATTTTTATGCCCATAATTTGAGGCTAACACATCTGTTATTTCCTCCACTGCCTGGCTTTGGTGAACGTTGCCTATGGAAAGTAACAAAGAGTGACACTGGAAAAAATAACAAGAGCGTCTTAACTTCCAACATCTGGAGAAAACAATATTAAAAAAACAGGAACAAATAGGTATGGTAGCCTACAAAGCAAAAGCCACTTTTTAACAACAGTACATGGTTTACATGCTACAGTTGATTTTTATGATTTTAGTCTGCGCAATAAAAAAAAAAAAAAAAAAAAATTGAAAATCTTGTTAAAGAAGCAGCAGTTCAAGTTCTTGTCTAGGCCATCCTTATGTCAAAAACCCAGGTATAAAAAGAGAGAGAGAAAGAGAAAGAGAGAAACAAAGAGGTAGTCATATTCCTTCCAGAAAAAAAGTTTCAAAATTCCATCTCAAAAGCTTCCTGTTGTGTAGTTTTCAATAAAGTTTTATCACTCTACATATAGGTCCCTGGCTGCTCTATACAGAGATGTAGATTATGCTGTATCATTTGAAACTTCAAAATCAAATTAAGTATTCCTGTGGAGTGATAAATACCAAAATTAAGACGGTGATGGTAATTTTCCAATGGGGAAAAAAAAAAAAGACAAATATAAAACATCTTAATATTTGCATTCAGATGTTTCACTATGACTAAACAAAACAGAAAATATATCAAGAAATCCTTTAAGGAAGGGGATGCATTTAATATACAAACATCTATCTGGAAATGCCTCATTTCAATACCACTGTTTTTTCTTTTTAAATTTGATAGATTTATTTTTACAGTGTGCATTCCTAAACCCTCCCATTTGTTGTCTGAATTCCTGTTTGTGACCTTGGAATTCCAAATTTATGATGTCATCTTCTGCCTTTTTTTTTTTTTTCCAAGGGTATTGTATTCAAAAATGAAAACAGTATGGAAATATTTCCCTATCCCTTCACACCCTCTCCTTTTCTCCTGTTAATAAACGTAGCCTTGGCATGAATTTTAGAAGGAAAAAAAAAAAGAAAAAGAAAGCAAATATTTTTATCAAGAAGGTAATGTATCCTTACCATATGCCACAAAAAAAGAAGGCCTATCTTTGACTCACAAACATCACAAATGCAGCTACTAATTTCTAGCTACTGTTTTGGGGTAAGGACAAGATTTCTGCTTTCATTTGGTATTTTCTTTTAAAGAAAACAACACACAATTCTATGGAAGATTTTCTGTCTTTTTTTTTCCATTTAACTCTCTCCAAAGGACTCTGTTCCCGACAGCAAATGATTGTTTTAGCAGTTTTGCTCCTATGTATACTACATGTAAGTAAAATCTGTCTCTCGGCCAGTAATAAGAAGTAGATAAATGGTAGTTAATAACAGATGCTCCTAATGGCAGGACCATTTCTTGTGACAGCAAAAGCAAGAGAAAGTCATTACACATCCAACAGTGGATGTGCTTTTAGTTCACAGTACAAATAAAATGGGCCACAGGTCAGTAAAACTCTCCTGCATTTGAACACTTTTGGTTTCCATAGATTTGGCTTCCTTTAGCTAGCTATCTGTATAGCTGAGTGTTTTTCTGAGAAGCTTTACTGCCTGAATACATAACAGTGACCCCAGGCATGGGTGAATCAACTCCATTAACTCTGTAGGTAGCAAAATGATAGCTTGAAGGCCATGAGAAACCTTGCAAATCCAAATGATAACAGATAAAAACATAGTGCAACATGAAAGCAGAAAACGAATGACAGTCTAACCCAAAAAATCCTTTATATTCCAGAATATTTTACAAATGCTTAGCATCTCACAGGACTATATTCAAAGTTACCTGTACAAATAGCATTTCCTTCACAACTCTAAAATACTGATTTTTCTAAAGAAACTTTGAGGTCCAAAACTATATAAACCAAACTTAAAAATGTCTGTAGTTGCCTTAAACACCACCAACAGAGACCACAATGTTTGCACAGCAAACATTAAGAATACAAGAACGTTTTCCTGTCTTTTCAACGTAAAATATTATTTTCCTCATACAAGTCTGTAAATGCAACACAGTATCCCAATGTTGAAATCAAAGAGCTGCAGCAACACAGCTCTTGTACCTTTTTATGGAGAGAAAAAAAAAAGAGAAAGAGAGAGAGAAAATTACAAATTTGTCTTAATAGCTTCACATTTTATAAGCTCAGAAGGCTGGTGTGATTATTCTGAAGCAAGAAGCTCTTCCTGGCTGACTTCATTGCTGAGCCCCACAGCAGCTTGCCCAAAGCTGCTAGTACTGAGATGTTTCCCTTCTGGAAAGGCACCAAACACTCTTACTGTGATATTTAAAGTCCATAATATGAATTGGAATAATACACAATGTGGATTCTTTCTTGCATATATGCTCATACCAACTTCTGGGATTGTTCTGCATCAGAGCAGAAAACGCCTTGATTCAACGCCTTGATTCAGTAGACTGAAACTGATGAAAAATAAAGCATCTGTTTGAATAACATTTAGATGTTTTTAGGCAGTTAATATTGCAAGAGTTTTACTCAGTGGAAACGGTTTACCTATGAGTAACACCTCAGAGCAACATGCAGGTATAGTATATGCATTCACAAAGCAAGTAAAATTCAACACAGAATATATAGGTATCAGGAGACCTCTCTATCACCGAGTCCTCAATGTAAGGCTCCAGTGGGATTTGAAAAATGCATGGGCTCTTTTCCAGCCCTGTGAGGTGAATTATATCCAGTGAGACTGCAGATATGTCTGCACAGACAGGTGCAGTCAGTTCTCTCAATTCCTCTGTGTCTCTGGTCCCAGCATGCTGCAATCCAGCTTCAACACAGAGGCTACACAGCTACATTTTCATGAGGGGTAGGATATATTCCCTTGGGCACAGTCAACCTTCAGACATACCAGCTAAGAATATACCAACTAATTCATGAAATGCATCTTTTCTTTTAATGCAGAATGTTGCTTAGAAATCCAATTGGAGAAAGTAGAGGTTTTTCAAAAATCATACAAATTAAATGTGTATGTATCAATACAAACGGTTTTACCAAAGTTGTCCAAAATTGTGTATCAGAGAGCAGTACATGACAATTTTAAAAAATATCCAGTGGCTTAACTTTGAATGATATTCAGTCACATCCAGTCTTCAGTGCAAAAGAAATAAGGCCACAAGGCCAGCATTTCATTTAAATCCTAGAATCCTTCCTCATTTATAATATGTGCCATAGAATGAAGGGAAAGAGGTAAATGAAGCAATGAACACCTAATAGCTTCACTTACAGCTTCTTCAGCGCCGGAAAAAATTACACTGTGTTTTTATTTATAATACTGGCATAAAATATAATACGGCAACCTGCTCAAATACTGACCAATGACCCCAACTCAGTGAAGTATCTAGAGATGTTTTCAAGTATTGTGTGCAAAATAAAGCAAAAGCTTCAATTAAAGCATATGCTTAAAATTACAGTCCACGTAAAGTGCAGATGCAAAGCAAGCAATCACACTACAAATTACTTAAATTATTCTGAAAGCCTATCGCAGAAATCTGATTAAATTGTAATATTGGGAAGCCAAAATATGTCAACTAGTTTTTGGAGCAAGATATCAATTCCCAAGTGGAGCAGGGTTAAAATGTTACAGCAACATGATCTTGCATGATTTTCAAAAACTTACAAGTAAGTGAAATACCCAAGGGAATACACCCGGGGAGCACCAGGCCACAATTCTGAGAAGACTGGAGTTAAGTGTAGAACTCACCGGAAATCAGAAAGAGAAAAATCAGATAGTTTTCAGCCCCCAGAAATCTGCCTAGGAATTTATAGACCAGATAAATCTCCAGGTTACCTGCACTTCAGGTTTGTCAGAAACAAACCTCTCCTTATTCTCCTTCCCCCCTTCCCCCCCAGCTATCTCTCCTCTTCATTAATCAGCAAGCTGTTACGTTTAGTCAAACATTTTGTATAGCTAATAACAATATTAACAATAATAATAATATTAAATATTGTACTTCATTCATCAGAAGGAGGCAGAGCAAATGTCAGAAACTCATTAACTCCTATTAGCTTTCCACTTTGATTTAGATAGAAAGTCATGTAGGTCAAGGGAAACCTTTTTTAAGCTCAGCGTCATGGACTCAGCAAAAAATTGAGCAGACTTTGCAAGAGCTACTATAGATCTGAAGGAAGCATGCAGAGCAAAAAAAGAACTGAGAATATTTGCTAACCCATTCATTGGCTGTTGCTCACTAGTGTTCTCACTCAAGAAGCAATGACACCTCCTGCTCGGGTTCCAATGTGATAAGCACTCACAGAACAAACCACAGGAAAGGTAGGGATCATTAATTCTGCGCTTCTATTAGACCTTGTTTCTCCTTAATTTTAACATATGAACCCTGAAACAAATATCTATTTCCTTCGTACCACGGGAAGAGGGGCAGAACAAGTAATTGAAAAAAGCTATTTTCTGGCTTTAATAAGAAGTAAGTCAACACAATATAAAAAAGCCTTGTGTTTTGCAACACCTGTCACAACTTCAAAGAACATAAAAAGTAGCTATTGTGCAAATTACA